TTTACAATTAATGAAGTTCATTGATGTTTATTTTGTTTTAAGAATAACATTGTCCACTTTTTTGCATAATATAATGTCAACTAAATTCTATATCTAGGGTTTTTGGACGTGAGGTATTACAAGGTGTTGTGTAAGTCCCTCAACGAGCACACCCTAGTGTTTGGTTGTCATTTTTAAGCTTGGAAACTTGAACACACTGTTGAGATAATCCAAACAATAGGAATGATGAAAACAAATGATCATATCCCCTTATGCACATGGCAATGCATGTTGTGCAATGACCAAGCCAAAGGGTTGCAATATCAACCCATATAACCAATCGTCAATTTGGATTGTATAACTCACCTTTACTGGCCATTCTCACTTGACCATATAAGATTGAATTCATTCATAGTTCTTGTACACACCACTCTTCACACTATAGGAGTGGGCCATATTCAAAGTCAATATTAACCACGAGGAAAGGAATTTCCAAAGGCAAGCTCAGTAATGGGAGACTGGGAGTGAAATAGTTGTTGAGTACCCATACTAAAAAGTGTGACTTAATTGATTCTTTCTTAATGGGAGCTAATTTTTTGTTGGATATTTTTGTTCTTCTCATACCTACAACCAAAGGAAAAGAAAGCAAAGTGATTCTCATAATAGTGGTAAGTGGAATGAGAGCAACCGTGACTTCCCTCATGGGCTGAGTGTGGCGACTGGTGATTCGAACTCTTGACAGCACTGTTAGTGAGAAGTATCTAATTCTTTTAGCTACAAGTCCTATTTATTCTCTACTAAAATTTTCCTCTGGAACAACCTAAAAGCTCCTAAAAATAGAAACCTGTACAGGAATGGGATGCTATGAAATGCATTTCAACTGTTAAAAAGGAATAGGTATTAGAAATTGTTTTATTCTATGGTATACAAAATATTGATAATGGCAAAAAAAGGTATTGGGCAATAATATAGACACAACTACAAAAACGCAGGGGATGCATGAATGTTCACACACACACACACACACACACATATATACTGCCAATTTTGCAGAGAGAAGAATAGTTTTAGCAATTTTTATCTTTAGTTTAGCATGATATTTTAATTTGCACAACACATTAACTTATGACCCACCTTATATGTACTCCTATTTATACATATTTTTGTATAATTTTTTATTAATTTGTGGTCTAACAATACCTTCTGGTTGAACCAGTTACTCGACACCGTGGTTGGATCAATAGTCCAATAGCCAGCTCAAGTCTGCTAACAATGCCCCAATAACTAAAGGCGTGAACCAAGTAGATTAAGGAGCATAATCCATGACATATATGCTAATTTAGCGCAAAGGTTGAATAGGAAAACATTTACTAAAAACAATTGTCATAGGAACTTTGTCTATTTAATGAAAATGACCGAGCTGATTGTCAAAAGGTTGTTTTAAATTTTCTATTCTTCTCATAAAATCATATATTTATGAAATAAAGCAACAGCAACTCATCTTTCAATTCAGTATATTTTGATTTTGATTTGAATCATATACAATATGTGAAATGTACGTGTACTACTACATCTAAATTTTGGAAATTCATGTAACATACCATGTCTCACTGATTTTTTTTCATTTTAGTATATTAAATATGCGTAGATATTATGCATGTTTGTGTGTTAGAATTTCAGTTTTGTTGACTTCCTATGAATTTACAGGCCAGATAGAACTCTTCTCTCATGTTCCGGTGCTAAAGAACTTTGTAGAGCATCTAAAGCGTAAAAATTTCAACGTTTGTGTTGTTTACTTGCTTGACTCGCAGGTATGCATATCTATATTTTTTTAAAACAGTATATATTGGTATCATATCACCACCTTGCATGGACTGAACTCGTAGTTTTTGCATATCAGTTTATAACAGACGTGACCAAGTTTATAAGTGGCTGTATGGCTTCGCTTTCTGCAATGGTTCAACTTGAATTACCTCATGTTAATATTCTCTCCAAGATGGATCTTGTGAGAAACAAGAGGGACCTTGAGAAGTTAGTTGGTTTACATCACTCCGACGTTTCTAGCTTATTTCTTTTTCTGGATTATGGTGTACACTTTTCCACTACATTTTTACTTTATGTACTGGCAATTACTTAATTTGTTTTTTCCGGTTCTCTCTTTCCTTAGTTACTTGAATCCAGAACCTACGACATTGCTGGCGGAGTTGAATCGGCGCATGGCTCCTCAATTTGAAAAACTAAACAGATCTCTTATTGAACTGGTACGTTTGAGCATCTCTTATGTTTTGCATTGATCTCAATTATTTGGTTGAATGTAGAGCAGTATATGCTGTTCAAACAGATTGAACGTGATAAGCACATGTCTAATTAGCTTAAAAGTAGCTTATTGTGAATTTGGCGTAAACTGGAGTTGGAGCTAGAGCTGCTTGCTTTCATAGGCTACATTAAGGCTGCTGAATGTCTATTCCATGTTAATTGATTATATCAGTCAACTTAACTGAATCTTAAGAAATATATTTGTATTTACCAATGATTTTGTGGGCGTTACTACAACTTGATGATGTGTTTAACTATTTTTATGAGTTGTTAACATTCCAGGAAACTGTATCTTTTAATGCATATATTATGTATGCACGTTTGTAAATTCGTGCTATGGTATATCTGCATGTTCGCTTGTATTTTGTAGTCCTCAGATACTTGCACGATATGCTGCAGCTGCTTAATTTTTATTTATTTTTAAATATCAGGTAGATCAGTATAGTATGGTGAGCTTCCTGCCTCTTGACCTGAGAAAAGAGAGCAGGTACATTGCCTTCTTTCTCTGCATCTCCAGACATTATCAAGCTTTCAAAACCTGTTTCGGATTTGGTTGTTCCATTAAATACCATATGACCTGCAAAAAAAGTTAACTAGTTAAAAACTTAATTATTTACTTGTTAAGTAAATTTTTAAGCTTAGCCAAACCTGGTCTAAAATTCTGGCTTTTAAATTATTGTGGTGCATGGTAGAGAGAAACTAAACTGCACTAGCATTCTTGTTAATGTTGTATCCTTATTATATGAATTTGCATTTCTAAACTCCAGCATTCAGTACATCTTGTCGCAAATTGACAACTGCATTCAGTACGGAGAAGATGCAGACGTTAAGATTAAGGATTTCGACCCAGACGAAGATTGAAGCTCAGAAAAATCTTTAGGCATAAATCCCATAAATCAAAATAAAAGTTATGCGAGAATTGTTGTGTAACTAACTTTGTTTGGCTGTTTGCTTCTACTATCTGGACTATGTGTTGACTGTGTATGTTGTAGTTTGGTTCGCTTTCAATTAAAATTTAACTGGTCGAGTTTTAAGATTAAGAACCGCATATATCTCTGACTTCTAGCTATATAATTTCGATTCGATTGGATTACAAATTATCATTTCTAATCTCTGAATTAAAGCAATTATTATATCAATTTCTGTGAATTTAATTTATTTAAATATTTTTGCCGCTTCAAATAAAAAATATGAAAGTGAAAATATGAACTCATGTTATAGTTTTGCACTTTTTTCATTTTTGTAGGATGCATAAGAGAATTGAATTAGACCTAATGGTCTAGTTCCATCATTTTAAATGAAAACCATTTGATTTCGTGTATTCTCGTTTAAATTGAGTCATATCTAATCGTAGTATATTAACCCTTGTTTGGTTCTTATTATTTTCAATTATACATTTTTTAATAAAATAATATTACAGACAAATTCAAAACTTTTTCTTATTTTTTAACTGTACATTCTCCATTAAAATTCTATATCAAAATGCATTTTAGACAAAAAAAAAAAATTGGGCACAACATGCTCAGAGTATGTGATCTATGGACTTTATTTTTTGGTGTTAATAATAAATTTTTTATATCTAAGAGATTAAATATGCACAATTTCAAAGCTAAGATACAATGTTTAAAACTTCAAAAATCGAATATTAATTAAATTTTATTTATGAAATAACTAATTAAAAATATATTTTATTAATTATATAAATTTACAATTTGGTCATATATTATCAAATTAATAGGTTACAAATCAAAAAATTTATAGATCCGAAATTATTTCACGATCAAAAATAAAAATATTTATAGGTCACAAATCAAAGACTTTATATGTTACAATTTATTTATTGATCACAAATCATAAATTTTATGAATCACAATTTATTTCATGATCACAAATTATCAAATTAATTGATTACAAGTTATTTTTCGATCACGACTTAATAAATTACAAATCACAATCACAATTTTTAGGTCACATATTATTTATTGGTCACAAATTATTCATTTTATCGGTAACATATTATTTATTGATCACAAATTAACCAAATAGTTGCTCACAAATATTTCACACCCACCCCAATCTAACCACATACACAAATACGTGGTGACAAATTAACGAAAACTAATTGGTCACAATACTCTTCATTCCACTCTTACCCCAACTACAAATTAATCAAATAGTTGGTTACAAACCCCCAAATAGTTTGTCACAATCGCTCTTACACCAACACCGCCACAACCACCACAAACACTACCACAACCAACACCACCTCACCCCCGCCTGCACCACCACCTTTTCCAAACCACCAAAAACAACCACCGCTTGTCCTATTTTTCGCCAACCAGATCGACTCACTGCGACACCATCAGCCATCATAATTTCACCATCACCACTCTAAATCAACAAACAAAGCACCAATAGCACAACCTACCATCTCTTTTACGCAATTGCCATCTTTTCTGATCTCTCAGCTCTCACCATCATTTGCCACCTCTCAGCCACCTTTGCCTACACCAATCCACACCAACTACCGTTAACACCTCCCCAACCACAACACCACCACACATATCTTCAAAAACTAAATCTCTCCATTAACAAAATATGTAAATTTTCAGAGAAGCATCCCAATCCGCAATACAAAGATTGAATCTAGGTCGAACGACGTCACTAGGTGGAGATTGCCGCAAGGTCAAGCGACGCCGCTGTTGATGATACGCGCAACGGAAGAGGTACAGCAACACGCCGCTGGGTGGAGATCGCAGTTGTACCATACTGGTGGCAACTGTGGTGACATTCCGCTGCATTCAACGACGTCGTTGGTGGAAATTACCCCTAGGGCAAACGACGTCGCTATTGATGATGCGCGCAGCAGAAGAGGTACAACAACATGCTTTTAGGTGGAGATCGCGATTGTACCGCGCCACTCGCAGAGATGGTGACAGTTCTCTGCGCGTAGCGGTGCATTGTCGAACTGACAACAGAAGGAAATGAGGGAGAAGAGAGACGAGATTATGAAAAATTAGATTTAGAATTGGGTGGGAGAAGGGATGTTAATGTGGGTCGCCGCTTGGGTGGCCCGTGACTCGACCGAAAAAAGTCCCGATCGAGCTGACTCGTGGCTTAGTAGAACCAAGCCTAGGCTCTGGCTAGCCCTTAACGAGCAGAGCCAAGTTTTTTTTAAAAACAAATTAAAAAATAAATAAATAATTACAGCTGCCTGCATGCAACATTTAATATTTAAAAAAAATGAGCAGGATCGGCTCGAGCCCGACTTGTAAAGGCCCGAGCCAAAAGCTCGGGTTGTATCTAAATTTTTTGGCCGAGCGAAAACTCGACTAGGGCAAAAACAAAAAATTCGAACCATTTTTACTAGAGCCGAGCCAGAGTTTCGAGTCTCGCCTCGTGGCTCGATTCGACTCGCGTCGTTGACACCCTTAGGTGGGAGAGGGGGTGGTCTATAGATATATTTAATTTTATGGTATTGTTAATATTAAAGAATAGAATTATAATCTAAATTTTGAAATATGAAACTTAAAATATGATTTATGAAATTTAATTTTTAAAAACAAGTCTAAGTGTAATTTCCACTTTAATAATTTTAGCACATATTTGTCTCACTTTGAAATAATTTTTTTAAATTATCATACTCATTTTTAACCACACATTCACATAATAAAGCATGTGAAAATTATAAGACTAAGTGTTTTCATGATCTCAATTCATAATTAAGAATTAAAAGTTTTTTTTTCCAAAAATCAGATATAATTAAATTTTAAATTTTAATAATATTATTATAAAATTAAATTAATTAACATACTGCATCCACTCTACCTCACTCACAAACCTTAAATTTATCTCCATCCATTCGTCCACTTCATTTCTCTCTCTCTATGTCTCACCCTTTTTTCTCTCATTTTCCTCTCTTGACTCTATACACTCTTTCTCAACCGAGACCGTCTCTCTACCGTCTTTGTTGTGAGCATCGCTGGTAAAGCCATTCCTTGACTACAAATCGCGTTGGCGCTTGCAACTGCCCAGATTGCCCGAAGCTCTCCAGATCGCGGTTGTAGTGGCGCAAATCGTGGCTGCAGCGGCGGAGATCGCGATGGTGTTGGGGTTTTGGGTAGGGGTGGCGATGGCGGTGGTGGTGCTGTTGCTAGCGATTGTGGTGAGGTATTGACGACGAAGGTGACATTGGAGGTGACGGTTCATGTAGTGGTAGCATTGAAAGAGAGTCGGATTTTGTTAGTTTTGGGGGTGTTTTTTGTTGGCAGTGGTGCAGGTGGATCGGCGATGTTGGTGGTGGACTTTTGGCGCTGGTGAGGTGGTTGATCTGGTGCTGTTGGCGATGGTAAGGTAGTCGTCGCAAACAATCGTGGTACAGGAGGTTTTGGTGGCAGCGACGATGATCAAGTGGGACTAAGAGTGTCTGTGACAAATATATTATATGTGACCAAAAAATATGATCATGACTCACTATTTATTAAGTTGTAATCGAGAAATAACTCGTGATCAATTAATTTGATAATTTGTGATTGTTAAATAAGTTGTAACTTATGAAATTTATAATTTGTGACCGATAAATGAATTGTGAACTATAAGCTTTTTAATTTTGTGACAAATGAATAAATTGAGAGTTATGAAATTTTTTATTTGTGATCGATAAATAAATTGCAACCTATAAAAATTTTGAATTGTAAACGAGAAAAAATTATAACCAATTAGTGACCTTAATATATTTAATTAATAAAATATATTTTTTAATTTATTTATTTATAAATAAAATTTAATAATATCTAATTTTTGAAGTTTTAAACACCGTTTCTTAGTTTTGAAATGACAAGTTAAATTTTTGGATATAAAATTTTTCCATAAAATATTTTGTATGTAAACTAAACATTTTCCTTATTTTTTAATCATATATTTTTTTTTTTATCAAAAAATTATTATTCAAAACTTCATTTTAAATAATAATAATAATAATAATAATAATAATAATGGCCATTAAACAGGGACTTAGTTTGTCAAGTTTAGTTTGTCAAGTTTACCCCTTTAAAATTAATAACATGACAAATACCCTACTATTTAAAAAAAAAAAATTGAAAAATATCTTTTTTTAGAATTTTTTGAAAAATATTCTAGAAGATCCATGGGTCCAAAGACAAATCTTGTTTTGACTTGAGAACGGTTGATGTGAAGAGTCAATACGTTGAATAAAACTTTATTGTTTATGACCAATCATTTTATTTTAATCATGCGAGTATTTCGTACTTATTCATCACACATTTCTATTTATAAATAGATTATAAACAGCTCCTAAACAAGCTTTTAAATGTACCGACATATTGAACCAGTGAAAATGTAAATAAACGAAAAAAATAGAAAAAAGGCAATAAAAATGAAATTAAAAAAATTCTCTTCTTCCACAAACCCCACCTTGTGCCAAACCCCCTTCCACAACCACCACTTCCCTCCCCTACGCTGATGTCACCAGCACCTTCCATAGATTTTCGTCCTTCACTGACTGGGTGAGGTTGCAAAAAGGAAGTATAAGACTAACTTGACAAAGTCTCTGCAACGGTTGGTTATAAGTCAAATTACCATCAGCTCAAGACTTTTTGCCTTTCGAAAGAAGAGCAACATTTTCGCAATTTTCCAACCCAATGTTTCTCAGACAGTTGTAGGCTTGTAGCGTATTGACTTTACAAAATTCCGTAAGTGCACGATATCTTAAACAAATAATAAAGTTGTGAATAAAATATCATTTTCACGAGAACTCTATACTTAATTTAGGATCAATTAATATTAACTATTGTTGAATAGCTAATTTTGTTTAAAATTTTTATACTAATTAACTATTCTAATGAGAAAATTATGAAAACTTTTATAAATTTAGATGAGATGAATATTAAGAATTCAACTACCCTTATTACTCCATTTTAATACAATTTAATATCATGACAATATGTATGCATTCTTATGGATTAATGTTCGTAAGTTAATAATAATAATCCCGAATAAAATTAAATTTATTCTTCCACGTGACCTTCCTATATGTCTGTGTAAAATGCGAATATGAAAGCATACATTAAAAATACTGGAACATTTATTGAAAATCATGCAAAGTATAGATGCATACCTATACCCCCCTATAAGATCTCACAATGATTGTTATATGTGCAACATATCATATTGTCTCTCCTGATAACAATAAAACTTACAAATCAATCTAATTAGTGATCAAGTAATTGAAATTTTTTTTAACAAAATAACAATCATCCTAGAAATCATTAGTATTATGTGTCAAAATATTGAAATTATATTAAAAATTTCATAAAGGGTTCATCTAAATCTTTTAATTATTGGAAATCTAGCCTAATATTGCAAATCTTGTTTAATTTGTAGAACATCGACCGGATTATTAATAAATTGAGAAAAAGAAGATGAATTTTGAAATCTTAAATCTCTTCAATGATTTCTTGATGAATTTTCAGTTGCACCTTCTCTTCTTTGCCAAAAAAAAAATCAAGATTGAATCTTCGATTGAATTCTTGCAATTGTCTCTTAATTCTTCCAAAAGAATGATGAATTGGCCTCTCTTTGATGTAAGATTGTGTTTAATATAATACGAGAAGTGTCCACTAATGTATGTGACTGATTTGTATTTTATAAGTTTAGGAATTTAAGTTAAAATCACCTCCAAAGTGATAAACAAAAAGAGTTTTGAATAAAAAAGAAAAACTGCACGTCAAGTCCCGGACTAGGCTATGCACGCGCAACTGTTAAGGAGTCGCGCATGTCTCTCACTTCGTCCGCTCAGGTTCCACCCAATGAAGGCTCGCGTGCACGCCGTCAAGCACTCGTGTCTTCATAACTTTTAACTTTGTGCGTTTTGATCCCCGAGTTTGATACTTGATTTATTTAAGCCATTTTCTCCTGAAATTTTCATCATACTAACAAACAAAATATACACGAAACTTGGTCATAATTAATTATAAGAACTTTTAAATATTCATATAAGTATATAATTTATAATTATCAAACACTGCCAAACTTTTTATGCCAACTACGCATTTTTTATAGGATTAATCTACGTGTATATAGGTGTACACATAGAAGATGACATAATGTAAGTGGGTGGGGCCCACGTTACAGTATTGTGGACCCCACTCCACTCACATTATGTTAACTTCTATGTGTACACCTACGCACTTCCCATTGTCAAATCTCTTANCTCACATTATGTTAACTTCTATGTGTACACCTAAGAACACATAGCACTTCCCATTGTCAAATCTCTTATAAGTTGCTCAAAACTTAACCTAAAACTGCCTATCCCATCTTGACTTTAGCGCCCCCTTAGTTTCTCCCCCCTGCTTTTTGACTCATTCCACAGCACCAAAACCAAGGCGTGCAAGGGACAAAAACTTAAAAAATAAAAAGTCAATCTCTCAAATTTTCCTGTTTTCAATCTCAATTGCTTCGCCCAAATTGAAAAGAAATATATACGAAGACTGGGTGAGGTTTGTTATCTCATGGATCGCATCTAAATGATATGAGTCCCAATCAGCATCATATTTGATGTTCTTATCAAGAAATGTCCCAGGCTGATGTCTTCTACAGGTAGATTTATATTCCAATTTCTGCATTTTTTATCCATTTGATTTTTTGTGGTTACTGCTTCTAATTTTTTTATTTCATGGGTCATTTGGGTATTTTTTTTTTTTTTGGTGTTTTTTGAAATTAGACAATTTTGAAACTTATTTTTATGAATAATTATACATGTACATGGTATTTATTGAATTGCCGGTTTTTTGTTAATCAATGTGATCTTGTCCTTGAGTTGTAGTTGCTTTTCAATATGTGAAGGGCTCCAGTTACCGTTGATTCATCGGGTTCTGATAAATCGAGTTAGCAACCCAAACTTTTAATTAATATCTTTAACTACGATAACTCGAACATCGGATTGTAAGGAAGCATCCGATTCAAAATATTAAGGATAACCATAGAAGACCCTAAATTCTTAACATTGGGAAATTTCTTGTAATATTTCTAGAGGAACTGCTTAAACTAAGCCAGTAAGTGGTTATTTGCAATATATAAACGTGCTAGAAAAGTGTCGATCAGCTCTTGCACAATGGAAAATATGTTCATCTAAGTCTGGAAGGCAATTTCATTCAATTCATTACCCTTCTTAGTAAGACATCCATAGGAAAGAATCCAATAATATTTGGTGGATAATAGTCTTTCTTTGTCATTTATGTGCAAAAACATTTAGAAATGTACTAAGGTAGTGTTCTAGTCAGCTGAAGTAGTAATCTATAGGTGGATAATTGCTTTGATGGTTATGAAGTTAGAACCAACTTAATATTTAGGTCTTGAAAGCGTCCTTGTAGAAAGTAGAATCTTATGATTTTTCGGTCTATGTAGGACTTGAGTTCATGAGTGACCAGATCAATATTTTCTTTTGCTTGCATACTGCAGTAGGCTTAAACCTCGTGAAAAAATAATTTGCATACTTGTAAACTATCTTCTGAACCTTACCCTATTTCCTAACGACTTTTAATCCTTCTTGACAGCCTTCTCCATCCACCCCCACCCTTAAAAAGATACAATGAAAATAAATTAAAGAACGAAGGATTCTGGAATAAGTGCAAAAAATTAAGACACGTTATTCTCTTAAAACACATATTACCTTCATTAACGTTTTGCTCATTGACCTATTTAAGAACTGCTTTAGTAATTAGAAACTTTTTTCCCATTTTCTCTTTCACGTGATTAGTTCGTCGTATTATCTGAGTGTTTTATGCTTGTATGTAACTTCTGTTGAACTAACTTCATTGTTTCTCATTCATTGCAGCTGTGGGTCTTGTGGATATCCTCTCAACTTAGCATCTTCCAATCGTGCAACTTCTAGCATTGGATCCAAATATAGCAAATCTATTAAGAAAGGATACATCTCCTTTCTCTCCATTGATCTCAGTCGATTTACACAAGTTGATGAAGTGAACTGTCTTCCTATATCTTGGGGCCACTGTGGTTTGAAATCTAAACTCCTTTGCCGCAAGTGTGGAGTTCTCATAGGCTTTGGTTATGCAGACTCAACTGCTTTTTGTGGTTTTGATTCGCCTACCTCATCTAGCTCATCCTATAAGAAGATCATGATAAAGATTCGAGCCTTACAACCTTCTGAAGACTCTGAAAATGGAGCGTGATTCAATGGATCATCCTTCCTACATTACCCAACTTCCCAATGATTGCTTATACTTCATTTTTCAAAGGCTTGACTCTAATTTGGACCGAGAATCATTTGGCTTAACTTGCCCTCGTTGGCTTCATATTCAAAATTCAAGCCGTCGGTCTTTACAGTTTCAATGCGCATTTACCCAACTAAGCATTGCCTCTCTATCTCAGCCTTCTACCGAAATTACCCCATTTCATCTACATAGGTTGTTGAACCGTTTCCAACAACTACATTCATTGTCCTTGTCTGGATGCACCGATCTCTCCGACTCAGGGTTATCTCTATTGGCACGTTATGGCTCAAATTTGCAAAGTCTGCATCTAGATTGTTGTTTTGGGATCACTGATCATGGACTATTCTTTGTTGCAAGTGGTTGTACTTCACTAACAATTCTAAGTCTTTATAGGTGCAACGTTACTGATATTGGACTGGAGACATTGTCAAAATATTGTTTTGGTCTAAAAGATGTGAATCTTTCGTATTGTGGGCTTATCTCCGATCATGGTATAAGAGCTCTTTCTCAAAAATGCACTCAGCTCAGGGCTGTCAATATATCACATTGTAGAAGTGTCAATGGCATTGGCTTTCTAGGATGTCCTCAGACCCTGACTTATTTAGAAGCGGAATCGTGTAAGCTTGAGCCCGAAGGAATAATGGGTATTGTTAGTGGAGGTGGACTCGAGTACTTGAGTGTGTCTAACCTAATCTGGTGCATTCAAGGAGATGGGTTGTTATCAATTGGTGCTGGATTTTCCGCCAATCTTAGAGTGCTCAATTTTCGGTTATGTAGAACTACTGGAGATGAGACCATTGTGGCAATTTCGAAGGGGTGTCCATTGCTCGAGGAGTGGAACTTGGCATTATGCCATGAAATTCGGGTGGCCGGGTGGGAATCTATTGGTTTAAACTGTCAAAACTTGAAAAGGCTTCATGTGAATGGTTGTCGGAATCTATGTGATCGAGGATTTCAAGCTTTGAGGGATGGCTGCAAACGACTCAAAATTTTGTACTTCACTCGGTGTCGTCTGGTCAGTTCAACAGCCATAGAGATTTTCAAATGCTTAAGAAGTGATGTGAAGATCATTGAAGAAGAAATAATGTGTATTGCACCCGATTGGGCCTTTCGATTATAGCGTGTGGAAGAAATTTGTTTTATAACATTAACATATATCTTCTCATTGAACAAACATTTGACTTATTTCTTGTTTTAGAGTACGATACTATCTAGTTCAGCATATTAAACGTATCATGATGTAAATTGTCGAACACGATCTCAACACGTAAAATTTTGCATATTCGTTATTGATCAGAGTGTTCGATTGAACATTGATTTTGACGGTTCTTATTCATCAATTAAATGTTCCATTAATGTTTGGTAATTTGCAATTAAATGTTCACTTATGTTAGTTCATTTACTTATACACAATTTACATAAAAGCTAGAGCTTGTTTGGCGGCTAGAAAGTAGAAAATACGTTATATTAGTTAATTTAAAATTTGACAAAATAGACAACTTTAAAGTAAGTATAAAGTATTTAATGCAAAGCCAATCTCAAATTGTATAAAAAGTTAAGGACCCATTCACGCAAGTTTAATATGTTAAGGACCTCGACTACAATTAAGAACCAAGATGTTTGAAACCTTTAATTTACAAAACTGATCCAAGCTAAATTATTTTCCAGAAAAGTCTAATCCTTAGATGCCCCTTTTTCAATAAAACACAGAAAGCTGCTTATAATTTATAAATTTGGAAACCGAAGCCATACCTCCATTTCCGTACAGATTTTCTCGACCTCGTGTTTATCCAATCTCTGTAATAACTGTATAAATCTCTCCATTCCTGTGTTAATTTGTCTGTTCCTGCTGTTTTCTGTGCAACTTCCCAACAGATATTTATTAATTCAGCTTATTTTACTGAAATTTCCATATAAAGAATCGATTTGTAGAAAATTTCAGAATTTCAGAGTAGATTTTTGATGGCTGCAAGTGCGAATCCTTCAGCGGGTCATAGCAACGGTAATAATGATAATAATAGCCACAGTAACGGCGGCGGGCAGGAGAATGCGAATGGTGGCGCTACAAGTAGTAACGGTGGGCAGGAGAATTCGATGGTGAGATCTACCCAGGCTGCCCTCCGCCACAACCCCGGCTTGTCGGTTGACTGGTCCGCCGAAGAACAGTCTACCCTTGAAAATTTACTCACAAAGTTAGCTCCCGATTCTTCCTCTCATTCTTCTTGATTCTGGATATTTGTATGTAATTACTATGTCTACATGCAAGCATGTTTATTACTTTTTTAGGTGCGAGCCATTTTTAATTTTTTGCTATCATTGCAAGTTTGCCTCAAATTATGGCTAGTTTTATCTAAACACTTTTGTGCTGAATTTGGGTCCTTGGATGCTCTACTGTAGATATTGATCAACTTTAGGACTTGTATAAAGATGATGATTTTGGGTGGATATTTAGCTAAACTGTTGATTATTTACCACCTGTGGGCATAAAGGAATTTGGAATTCGACCTCGGCATCCCTTTCTAGGATAATTTATGAAATGGAAGCACAGTTATCCGGTCTAGCTTGAAGTACAATTCAGGTCCATGGTATTGGGATCCTCCAGTATTCAAAGACTGATGAATCTGTGGTGGGTATACCCACCGATTGGGTTTTGGTTAATTTGTGTAAAATAGGAAATTAAAAGGCCTGGATTTTTGTGTTATGGTTTATGTTATGGAGTCGTAAGCAATAATAACACAAAACTTAGAAAATCGAGAGCAAGGAGCTACGTCTACCTGCCACCATAAGATTATACTACAAATAACTCTAAACGAAAGAAAAATACGTGTTCTATGGAAACTCATGCCTCTGTATTATATCATCTTTAAGCCCAAAGAGACTTTCCTTACTATCCTTTATAGTTTATATGGATGAGGAATATTTAGGCAACACAGTACACGAGCAAACTACCCCTCATACCCCTATGATAAGTAAACAATATAATTATCATTCACACATCCAACATTTTGAAGTGATTTCAATTGTATATCACTACTATGGAGACAATAAAGATTCTAGACTTGCAAATCATGAGTACATATCGACAACTGTGACATAATTGTTCTCATACTTCATAGTACATGAATGCTTTGAGGTTTAGCCGGAAATGCCCCCATATTCAACTATCAATTTATCAATAGTCGATCTATTAATTCTCATGTCCCATCAATTTTGAAAAGAAACATTCTTTGTCAGACCAAGGCAAAATGTTGAAATTCACGTCAGTATTTATCTATTTGACATATGTACTGCCAATTTAGATAGAATATTTTACTCCAAAATGTTTCCATCTAGCTGGTTCTATGTTCTTGTGGATAATGCATGGATGTTACACACTGATCTGATACCTTAATGCACCCTTTTGCAGATATGCCTCAGATTCCACCATTGTTCGGTATGCTAAAATTGCTCAGGCATTAAAAGATAAGACAGTTCGAGATGTGGCATTACGTTGTAGATGGATGACTGTAAGCTCTTATCTTGTCATTTTCCTTCTCATTTGAGTATTTACTATTATTTGCTTTTCAACGTAGCCGGATGGAATTGCCTTTGCATATAAGTTTTTTAAATCAAAATTAAACGGGAAACAGTGATCAGGATTGATGAACAATAGCAGAAGTGTTCTATGTCTGGGGTTAATTTGTATGCCCGGCCAGATTTTGTACTTCAGAATTGAGAAAAATGTGAAAGGAAAAAATACTATGCAAATGTATATAAATGCTCTTGCTCATCGACAAGGTTTTTGGATGTGATTAGGTTGTAAAGCTTGGTAGTTGGGTATTTTTTTGTCATAGAATGAAGTTCATTTTTTTATAAGATACTTGAACTTATTAATTGTAGAAGCATAATTACAATTGTTAATGGCACGAGGAATGCTCAAGCTTCAATTAAATAAAAATGAAGTCAAGAATACAATGTACATTTCTATCAATCATTAAAGATAAACTAATATCCTCGAACTCATTGCCTGTTGGAAACAGTTAGAATTGGAAAATTAGAATAAGAAATTAAGAAAATATTTCCTAGTCTAGATATCAATTAATATTTTTCTCTTTAATAATACGATCTTTCCTTTTTCATTTTCCTTCTATGGGTAGGATTAATCTTGTATAAGTAACCCTTTAATTTGATGAATAATACTTGTAATTTAGCCTACTTTTCAAGTTGGTATCAGAACTTTGGTTGTCATGATATCTCTAAAACATTCCTCTAAATCGCTCAAAAATAAGGTTTCAAATTGCAAATCCTAGAACCACATCAAAACCCCAACTAATACTAGCGGTTAACTCTGGTGAAGGTAACCCCAACTAATACTAGCGGTGACCACATCAAGGGTGAAGAAGAACTACTTTGCTGATATAATATTTTCTCCTTGTATTTGTCCCTGCACTTCCATATTTGTTCAATTTGATCCCTGAACTTTATGAAAAGTTAGATTCAGTCCCTTAACTTCTGGATGGTTTCAAAATCTTGCATGTTAGTCTTTGAACTTTCTGAAGACAAGGTTTTTTCATTAAAACCAATAAAAGATGTGTAAAGAAGACTTGTGCCAAGACAAAAAAAAAAAAAAAATGTCTCCTCCTTGTTGAAATGCTTCTTGATCCCTCTCCACCTGGTTTGTACAGACTCAGTTAACCATGTCTTTCTTCAGTGGGATTCAATGTGGTTCTTGACCAACTTCCATTTCTTTATTGTTTCCTCTTCGGTTAATAGTTCTAATTTCAAAGAAGCACCAACGTTGCATGAACATTAGAGAGACTGTACATACATGACCTTCATTTCTTTGTTTAACTAATGCTGATAACTGTAGATAGTTGTAACATTGAAAATTTTCGTAACATACTGTAGTTTTAACAGTGGTGATGACCTCAAACTTGAGTAAAGAATTCAAGGCTAGTGTGAGACTGTACCCAGAAAAAGGAAATCTTTTGTAATTTCAAGTTTATGATGCCAGATTCAATTTAAATGTTTGATTTTCACTTGTTGAAAAGGGTTAATGTATTACCATAGGCTGCTTTTTTATGGACGGTGTATTTTGCATTCTTGAAAAAAGTGGAAAGACAACTGATCGGAGAATGAAATGGAAGCAGAGTTCTTGATGCTCATTAATAAGTGAAATTTGCTCAGTGGTGGATCATAAGAGCAAGAGTGAAGTTAGCAGTGACTCTAATACCCATCCCTTTTATAATTTTCAGCTGATTACATCAATTATGACTTAAATGTTCTACTATTTTGCAGAAAAAGGAAAATGGCAAGCGAAGGAAAGATGATCACAATTCATCGAGGAAAAATAAAGATAAAAAGGTACTTAAACATGGTGCATGTTATTATCTGTTCCCAGCTAGCTATGTGAATATTTAAGGACGAGTCACCTCTCTTACTCTTAACATGTGCTGTTAGTATCTAGATAAAACTTCAAATGACTCCTTTTAACACATGAAATTTTATAATATATTTAGGCATTGGCATGCTCCGAGTCCAAGTGATGAGGTAAACATGGCATAAGAAACGGCCTTCTAATTTCTGCCATATAGAACTATAGTAGTCTAGATTGACAATCTCTTACTTATCTTCCTAATTTCCTAGATGTATTATAGCCTTATGAACAACTGAAATCATATGTTTATTGTGATTATGTTTGGTAAAATGAGATTTGAAAGAGTATCTAGATTTTGTGGCTTTTCAGTATGTTTGGTGCCCTGAATTTGTAATTATTTTCTCTTTTGATCCTCTTCATTCCCCCCTACACGGGTCAAAAAATAAAATAAAATAAATAAGAAGAAGAAGAAGAGGAGGAGGAGGAGGAGGAAGAGGAAGAATAGAAAAAGGAAAGGGAAAGGCAATACTTTAGGCATCCATAGACAGACAGAAGAAAAGAATTTGCATTAATAAAGCAATTTGAGTTAGGTGGAATAGGGCTTTCCTATTTGTAAGGACCCCAACCTTGCCTAAGGGAAAACAAAAAGAAGATAAACAGAATTAGAGTTGCCGTTTTCTGTAACAAAGATTCCCCCGCTTTTGGTAACTGGGTTGCATTAGGGGGTTCGGTTTGGGATTCCTCTCACATCTATGGTGTTTTGA